CACGTGGTGCACCCTGGGCAACGTATACTTATACGGCCAAAAGTCTATTGATCGGCAGTTGACTTCTGACTTCAAATTTCTATGGCCCGACTATTTTTCATATTCGAAACCTTCCACAGTACTCATCTTACCTTTTTATGCCTTTGTGCCTGTCTGTCTGTCTCTTTTACCTCTCTGAATCATTATTCTGTCTCCAATCTCGACTTTTTGTCACTTTGATGTTCCTTCTCCTCTCTGTGAAGCCCCGAAGTCAGCTCCAGGGCTAATGATAACTATCAAAACGCCTGCCATTTGATATAAATAAATAAATAATGCTTAAGGGTCTTGGATAGAAAGCTTCGAAGAAAAACTTGTAACACCGCTAGCCGTGAGGCAAGTTAACAACCAAGTCAAGGTAAATTTTACCTGGTTTCATAAGAGCAGTTTAGAAGGGCGACGCAGACTGTGCACTAAATTTAGAACAATTAACCAGCAACAAGTATAGACTCATTTGATGGAAATCAGGCGGTCATCCTGGCTAGTTATAAAATATTATTTATGAACTCGCAGATGATTTGACAATAAAATGAATATCGACCAAAGAACGTGAAACCACATTAGTAAATTAAGCTATCAATTATTAAATAACTAATAAAAACTGAAAACCGTCAAGTTGATATAAATCATAAGAGAGTAGAGTACGGAGAGGTTTTAAGATGGTTTCATCCAAGAAGAGCCCAATTTCCACACAACTTGAATTAATAAAGGCATGCCGCAAAAAAATTGGGACATTGTTGAGGTCTTAGAATGAGATAAGAGAGCAAAATTAGATCCAGATGAAGATGAATAACTCACCAACTCCAAGCGGGCAGCTTGGCTATGATTGAGTTGAGCAACGAGATCGTTCAGCAAGCCTGCATCCTCCGAATTCAAACCTACGAGATTCACCGAAGGCACCTTCTGAATCACCAGGAGCCTCAAAGCCTCTCTCAAATCACCAAATCTGTCACACTCATCAGAAAATCGATCACAAGTCTCGCGCAATTGGTCGATCTCCGCTTCCTTGTCACGGACTAGTCGATCATAGTCTTTGAACCGTTGTTCATGCAAGCCTACAGGACTTCTAACCGGTGGTATATTCAGATCTTGGAGAAGGTTTAATAGATCACTAAAATGCTGATGGAATTCTTCAGATATCTGAGATGCTTCTTTTTTAATAGTGAAAGCGTCGGCTCGAATCTTGACAATCTCGCTTTGAAGATTTTGAAGCAGTCTGTTATTATGAGAGATAATCTCCTTGACGTTTCGATGATAACGAGAGGACTGCTCTAGGACCAAATCTTTCATACCCGAAAGACAGTCTTTGAGCTGCCAGACATCAGTTAAGAGAGCTTCCAATGAAGTTGAATTAGGAGGCATTTCAGTAGTTTCAGGATATGGAGGTGGAGGAGATTGGGTATTAAGTTCAAGCACCAACTTCGTATGAAGTCGCTGAATATCATCGATTTGTGCCTGAAGGGATGCAAAGTATTGTCGAGCAGAAGATTTAACGTCCAAAACATCCTTCTGCAAATGTGGTAGAACAGAGAGCGTGGAGTGGATTTTAGGATCAGTCAACACTGAATCATCTAAGCTAATCTTATAAGAAGACTTTTGAACCATAGGCAAAACAGACCCAATCTGATTTAAAAAAATAGAAGATTCATTAGCAATAATTGAATTGTTCTGTGATATAATCTCCTTCATGTCACACAAGTCATCTTTGAATTTTGGAAGGAATTTAAGGAGGATAGCATTATTAACATAGTTCGGAGATAAATCTTGCAGATTTTGGATAGAAGAAACAAGATGTTGGAATGAGGAATTCATTTGTTGATAGAAATTATTAACAAAGGCTCGAAGTTCATCCCGATCTTTACAAATATTATTAAACTTGGACATCAGACCGCACTTATCTACATAAAAGGCTGCTTTGGGAGAGCGATATTCCTTAAGAGAGATAGAAAAATCTTCAAGAAGTTTTTGAACTTCATCAAAAGTTTTAATAGACAAGGAATGATTTTTCGTTCCAAGTAATTGAGTTATCTCATTATTGACATTCTGTAGAGCATCCAATAAAGCGGTGGTAGGTTTGGCTTGACCGCTGTCCTGGAAACCTTTAAGGGTAGAGAGAATAAAAGCATGTTGACTATTAGGACTGGAATGGGTGACTTTGGGGGTTAGTTGGGAGATTTTAGACGCCACTCCATACAGTTCAGTAGTCCGAGCGTTAGCGATAACTAAATCATTCATGATGCGGCCAACTTCAGATTTGAATGTATCTCGTTCTTGCTTAACTGTGGAAAGACGTTTTTGCAAATCGTTGTTCATTTTTGAAAGCGTTGTTAATTCCTGTTTGGAAAGATCTAATTCAGCTTGCTGGCGTGTAATGGTCGATTTGAGGCCATCGAGCTCTACATTCAATTCTGATTCAGTGATTGTGGATTCGGATGATTTTCCCGATTTCAATAAACCAATATCTTCCTCCAGTGATGAAATAGTTTTGTTCTTTTTAACCAAAAGCAGTTTAAGTTTGCTTACCAACGCATCTCTTTCGCCACATATTCGACGCAATTCCTCCAAGCTATCCACATTGGAGTAGCATTCGTCTGCCGATATAGTCGACATTATTTAATCTAAAATAGAAATGGAATGATATTTCAAATTCCTAAGTAAGCCTTTAATAGCATTTAAATCGTATAAATGATAACGAAATAAATGATGCGAGTTTAAGAAATTTGGCTTAAGAATTAAACAAAACATTACAAATTGTATCAAGAGTGAAAAACAAAATATAAACATGTTTAAGCTCGAAATTACTCTTGATGTAGCAACTAATCAGATGTAGCAGTTAACATATAGGTTACATAGTCATGAAGTCTATGTCAACATTACGTAACTGAAAGAGAGTATATATGGGTCAACCATTAAGAGTTTCTATTTTGAAATCGTTTCTTACATATAATGCTTAAATTCATTTTAGTGAATAAAGTCCTCACAAAATTTTTATGAAATATTTTAAAAAGTTGTGCAAAATGGATAAAATATTTTCTAATATTTTTATTTTCGAATGAATAGAACTTAAGATTCTATTTAATGGAAACAGTACTTTTTATTTCTGATTTTCTTAAATTATCTCTTAAGGTCATATAAGTATCCACTGAAATAAATCTGTTTCAAGGTTGGCACTTGTTGAGCATGTCGTGGATTGCATCTACTTATTTTCGAAAGTTTTTACTGTTATATCATTTTGAAACAGTAGTTAGATCTGTGAACTCAAATATTTATGTCAAGTATACAATAGTTTCTAGTATTTCTTATGCAGATGATTTGCTGTTCTAAGTCGTTTTGCCTCCCTGAATAGGTTTTAATTTAATATACTGGCGCTTTTAATTGTAGGATTTTATTTTATTTATCTACGACCATGTATTTGATCTAATTTGGGGTCATTTAGATGTTTATTAAATTAAATTCGCCTTTGTGATCTTTTCGTCCAACATATTGGCTTAGGATGGTTCGCTTGTGAATTGACTGCTTTTTCGAAACATGCTTGTCTGAGTTTATCTTCAAGTGCGCTTTACTAATTATTTGGGTATTTGAAATGTATGTACCGTCATTTGCCCCTTCGATAACTGGTATTTTTTTTACTAATGCGTTATTTTCGTATTTCATAGTCTTGCTATGCTTAAAGAAGTCAACTTTCCAGTTCTCAAGAATGATATAATTCTACGTGTTTGCAAAGGTTTACCCGTTCCTCATGCCCCAGTGTGGATTATGCGTCAGGCGGGACGTTATCTTCCAGAATTTCGTGAAGTTCGTAAACAGCACACTTTCTTTGAGATATGTCGAACTCCCGAATTGGCTTGCGAGATCACTCTCCAGCCAATTAAGCGTTTCAATCTTGATGCCGCTATCATATTTTCTGACATTTTAGTCGTTCCCCAGGTAGTTGATGTTTCGTAAAATTTCTTCTACTGATATTGTAATGGGTAGCCATTTTTTTCTTAGGCTTTAGGAATGGAAGTTACGATGGAACCGGGGATCGGACCTCATTTCCCGAATCCTTTGAACACTACAGCAGATCTTTCCCTTCTCGATCAGTTTCCTGACGTTTCTAAAAGTCTGGATTATGTCTATAAGGCTATTACACTAACTCGACGTCAACTAGAAGGACAAGTACCTCTTATTGGCTTTGCCGGTGCTCCTTGGACGCTTATGACTTACATGATCGAAGGTGGAGGATCAAAGACATTTTCAAAGGCTAAAAAGTGGCTGTACGCGTATCCCGAAGGTAGCCATAAGCTTTTGGATCTTCTGACAAGGGTTGTAGTTCAACACCTTGTCAACCAGGTGTTAGCTGGCGCCCAACTACTGCAGGTGAGCTGTGAGTTGAACGAATTTAGGTTTTTACAAAAAAAGAGAGATTCTTCTTGATTTGTCACTACCATTTTAGTCATAAGTATTGAGTACCTTTGAAGATTTGACAGCTTGAACATATTAAATTATTTTTCTCTATTCTGCTTCTTTTATTCTCCATCTGTGTTTATTGCGGTTGACAATTTATTTTTCTTTCTTTGCTTTTATGAGAAATCGTTGTTTAATTTTATAATTAGATTTATAAATATAAATAAATATATAAATTGAGACTTTGGATGCCAAATATCCGTATCGTCACCCTATGAAAGTTTTAACTGCTTAGTTTCATAATATCTCAAACATCAAATATTGGTAGTAGCTATGGAAATATATCTTGACGTCGGAGTGTTCTCTGTGCAGTGGATGCGGTATGGGTGTCTCATTTAAACATTTAATTTTGATCGAAAATACCCATTTTGTGCTAGTTCCTTTTTTGTCTATGATCGATATTAATTAATCTCTCTACGCTGCGCTCAAATAACTCGGGTCTCAATTGGATATCACGTCTACTTTAACGATTGGTTTAAATGTATCGAAAACAGTGACTAACCCCAAGTCTTCGGCTCTTTCTGTTTTTCTTTTAGACATCTTTACTTTCCATTCGTCTTTAATGATTGGTGGAGAATTTGGATTGAAATGCTTTCCATTCCGTCTTTTTCTTCTTCTTTCCAATTTGATGGAAAGCATGAAATTATTTATCTGCTATAATTCTGTACCAAGTATTCATCAACATTAGTGAAACAGTATTTTATTAGGAGTATCTTATCCCGTGCGAAATTCTTTAAACTGGGGGACTTTTCAAACCAATGCAGATACGCCTTGAAGACTAAATTCGATTTCAAGCTCCATAAATTATAATTAAATTTTAGTGGTTAGTTTGCCCTTTATATTCACTGACTCTGAATTCTTTCAAGCGTTCTGATTGCACCGTTTATTGATTTGATTTCCAATTGGTTGAGCTATGGTTTATTATTCGATTCTTCCTTACATTTCCACTCATTAGTGCAGTGCACTCAAACTTTTGGCAGGAATTCTATATCTAATAGTTGTGAATGCCACTGAGTTCATTGGACAAGTCGGTTACGGCAACTAGCTGTATTTTCCATGACTTATATGTTTCCATAACACTCAAATGCTGTGCTCAACAGAATGCCAATTTATTTGTAACAGGTCACATTTTATCATCTCCCGTGTCAAAGTACAAAGTATAAGTTATAGTCCTCAAAAATTAAAAATATTTATTATCACATGACATGCGTTTTGATAGTTCGGGCTTCACAGAGAGGAGGAGGAACATCAAAGTGAAAAAAGTCGAGAGGGGTGGGGGGTGAAGAATAGGAGAGTGTTGCAAAGATGTAAAAGAGATAGACACAAAGGTAGAAAAAAATTGAGGCGAATAATGTGGAAGTAGTCAAATATGACATACCGTGGGGTGATGGTAGCTTGAGGTCAGAAGTCAACTGCCGGTTAATAGACTTTTTTGCCGTGTGAGTATACGTTGCCCAGGGAGCACCACGTGGAGGTAAGTCTATCGCGCACCCCGCATTAAAAATATAAAAGGCAGCCCGTCGAAATGTGCTATGAGGAGTTGCAGAGCAATCAATAGACGCCCATCTTTGCGTACCCAGTTAGTGGACTGAATTCGAGTTTCTCGCCAATTCCTCTTCCCCAAAAAATGGGTGTTGGAAAACGCCTAATCACCTAAGCCGACTTCAATGTTCCTAGAATTGCCCCTTTTCTTACCTAGTGGTCATGTTTCTTTGGGCCATGGCTGCTCACGGTGATTAGACCTGATTGGTAGGTTGCGGTATCACCTCAATTCTTAGTCTCTCCCTAAATAGCCAGACGTTTATTATCATTCATTTATCTTTTTTCCCTTCGTTTTCATTTTGAAATTATTCCCAGTTTATGCAAATTAGAGAGATTCGTTATAAGTAATCCTATGCGCTATTTTTTTGGCTGCATGCATGATAAATTTGAAACTGAACCTCTTCTACGAGGTAAAGAAATGTCACTATGACTCACCTTATTATTTCCAGGTGTTAGGTTTCATATGGCTAGTTTTTGCTTGAATGTGAAGTCACTTTGAATTCATTTCTTTTTGTGCAATTGTTTATGGCTTTATTTCTTATGAACGCACCTCGAAGATTTCGTAAACGCTATGTTTCTCCTCCTTACTTGCTTTATGTCATAAATGTTCAAAATGCCTAGAGCCCAGAGTGAAGGGGGTACTAATCATTGTGCCGCTACGCCACTTTACTTCTAAACTTCAGATTACTCGGATAAGCAAAAAGGAGGGGGGGGGGGGGACAGTATGTGTATTGGTTCTATGCAGAGTACGACAGAGATTATGGCTTAGCCAATAATGCATCACTGATATGACTAACTTTTTCCCATGTTCGAGTTTGGAATACAGATGATCTGGACTCCAAGCAGTCCTTATTTTGTCCTCTTTTTCTCTCTTAGGTGTTTGAGTCCAACGCGGGGTCACTGTCCCCATATCTCTTCAAGACTTTTGCCCTTCCCTATCTCCAGCGAATATACAATGAAGTTCGTGAATGTCTGCTGGTGAAATATGACTACACGCAGGGGGATCTCCCGCCGATAATTATGTTCGCCAAGGATGGTCACTACGCTCTGGCGGATCTGGCTTCAGTAGGATTTGAAGTCCTCGGCTTGGACTGGACTATGGATCCAGAAGTGGCCAGGAGACTTGTCGGTGTCGATGTGACTCTTCAGGTAAAATCAGTTTCAAGAACTCTGAACTTACCTCTCTAACACCTTTATTGTATCGATTTACTGTTGCTTATCAGTAGGAAAGGTGACCTATAAACAAAGAAAGGTTTCTTTTCAGGAAATTAAATCAATTTTTTTGGATAATGTTTCATAATTTGCCTATTTACATGCACAAAACAGCTGCATAAGCAGTGTGTGAAATTCTTTGGTTCATGGAAATTTTAAAGAAGAATGCAAAGGCAGATATTGTGTGTGTGGGTGTGTTTATGTGTTTCTGTTTTTAATCTCTCAAGAGGTGTCGTTTGCAAGTTTCTGTAATTTTCAATGGTGTTATCCCTTCTTGTGCTTCCCATCTCGACGTGTAATCCTTGGTGTAGTAAGGTTCAAAGCAATAAAATGCTGCATAGTAAGTTATTCTACCTGGTCTTTTTTAATTAATTATTCTTCTAGGATTTAGATCTTGAATTTGGGGTCCTTCTTTTAAGCGACATCTCTCCCCCTCCCACATGTTACGGTTGATCATTTTCTGACCTGGAATGAGATAGCATTTTGAAATTATAATCATCATCTATTGCCATCAGTCAATTTTCTAAAGACTGGAAAAAAAATTTTTTATGTTCACAATCAACCAAATATGACCTCCATACTTCAAGGTGCAACGAACTTAAAGCTCGAACAAAGGAGAAACGGTGGACAGTGGTACTCTCCGACATAGGCGACTGGCCAAGAATCGAAGCCGTTGCTGAGTTCAGACTACGTACCGGACACGATTGCTTGGCAAAACACCTTCACAGATTGGGAGTATACACTCAACCCACATGCCCTCTATGTAACCTACATGAGGAAATGGAGAAGACCCACCTGATTCGGTGTCCAGCTCTAAAGACAAGGACGGAAAGCCAAAGATACTGGGAAGCAAGAAGACTGCTAATGAACTGCTATTAATTAACTGCTATAAATGTACCCCCCCCCCCTCTTGGGGGAAGCTGAAGTCAAAGATTAAGGGCTAATGGTAAATATCATAAAGCCTGCCATTTGAAATAATAATAATGTTCACAATCAACCAAATATGACCTCAAGAGTTTCGCGTTCAACAAACTCCCAGTTTTTTTGCTATTTACAATTGTAATTGTGTTCCAGTAACTAGGTATTGTTGTCATGAGTGATGCTAATAGAATGTGCTGTTTAGTAAGTTGTTTGAAAATGTGTTTATTTGTTTATTCTTAGATTTAATGGGCTGTTGGGGCATCTCTTGTAGACTTTTTGTCATTTTAAATATATTCAATTAATTCTATTCAACAGCGATCAATCACATGTGTGGTTTTCGGGAAAGTTTAGCTCTCGCGGGAACATTTTCTGGGAATAGGTAATGCGCGAATACAATTTGATTGCATTCATTATGGAAAAGTGACAATTGCTATTGATTTTGGAAATTGAAAGCATTGACCTGAATTTGGGGGAGAGAGAGAGAGTTATTTTGCTTTATTTCTCCATTTCTGTTTACCGATCTACTTATTATTAATATCCAATGGTATTAATGTCAAGTGTGCTTGTTCTGAGCAATTATGTTTGGTACTCTAGTTTACTCTCCAGAAAGCCCTCTTATCGATTGCCACAAAGCACTTTTGAAGTTGGCTCACAACTTATCTCTCCGCGTACTATACTTCGCTGATGTACTTCGCTTCATCGCGTACATTCATGGCGACGGTGGCCTTTCCCTCCCTCCCTCCCTCCCTCACACACACACACACACACACACACACACACACACACACACACACACAC